AGGTTTCCAGAGTAGAGAGCACCTCAGACTCTCTCTCACAGCCAGAGGCGGCCAGCATCTAAGGCCAAACGTCCCCATGGACAGCAGACAGCACAGCCTAAAGCACTGCGACTCTCGTCAGTCAGTGCTCGGGGACTTTCATGTCAGTCTCTACTGACGGAGGCAGTAACAGGATCCAGGGAACTGGAGAAGGACCAGAGTCAGGGCCTGCCTTTGGAGAAGTAAGGCCTCAGACCCTGGCATGTGTGTGAAGACCCATAACAGGGCTGTCTGTTCAGAACAAAGGAAGAAGAGAGTCAGGAGACAGCCCAGAGCATCACCACTGATGGCTACAGGAGACCAGAAAGAGAGTGAGTCAGGGAGGAACAGGAAACCAATCCTCAGAGTTGTGCTGGCCACTCTGTGATTTAAGGATGGCCTGCCTCAAACTCACAGTACTCCTCCTGTCTCAGCTTCCCTACTTCTAGGGGTCACGGCATGAGCCGTGATGCGCAGATGCGGTCTGGTTTTGTTCCTGACTAAAAGAAGTCGTCTCTAAACAATGTCTAGGCTCTAACCAGCATCACAAGTGATGATCACACTGTTCCCACGACTGGTGGGTGCCTGCAATGGTAGCCTCACCCAGACTCAGGAACCTCCTCCTCTGGGCAACAGATTCTGCAGAGGCTCAATGACAAACTCCAGAGTAAGGTGCAGACAGACTGCTGTCTGAAATCACACACACAGCCCTTACTCCAGTGCACACATGGACACACACACACAGACTCACAGGCCAAACCCCCAGTGTCCACACTGGTCACGTGGTATTCCCCAGGGAGCAGGACCTTACCTAAGTCTAGTAGATCACAGGCAGAAGCAGACATGGATCCCTGCACAGCTCACTCACCAATGTGCTCCCTACAATGTTCCGTCAAGATGGTCGCATACACGGGACTCTAGAGTACACAGTCTTCTGGTGTGCCGTGGGCTTGTTTTTATTATGAGACAATTCACTTGTAACTATGCGGCTCCCCCTGCCCCGCCCTTCTAGGAGCTGGACTTAAAGCATGTGCCTTGCTACACAATCCCACTGTGTGGATGCTGTAGTTCTCCCCACTACGGTGCGCTTGGGGGTCCATGTGAGCACAAATATTCACTTCTCTGGGACACACCAGAAGGGGGACTACAAGGCTGAAGGGTAAGTGTACATTTTATTTTGCCATACTGCTTAAAATCCGTTTTTATTAGTGATTCCTCTGTAATCCTGGCTATTGCTTTTCTTTTTTTTTTTTTACTTCAGTTATTCTAGGTCCCCTGCCTTTCCCTACAGACATTTATATCTCTGTGTGTGAAGAGCTGTGGGGTGTCTGCCGGGACTGTGCCCAAGATGAATGTCTACCCTGCACTCTTCAGTCAATGAATGGGGCTTGCTCTTCATTTACTCAGGTCTCTGATTTCTCACAAGCATCATCACTTTCAGTTAGATGTGTCCACACACACTCCTATACATTTCATTATAAATAATACTGTTTTCAATTTGGCCTCCATGTGTTTGGCTCATTGTTATTACAGACTGCAACTGTGTTTTCTATAAGTTTAAGTCCTGTGCACTGACGTCATTCATAAGTTTTCTGTGGACTTCCTGAGGTTTTCCAGGTAGTTAACCATGTCAATTACAAGCAGTGACAGTTTTCTCTCTTCCTTCCCACTGAGCGTGCTCTGTCAGGAGTAGCAATCAGACATCCTTGCCCTCATTCTGAAGACAAGAGCTGAGCATTCAGTGGCCACAGGAAGGGACCACGATGCCTGAGGTTGCTCCTGGCTAGTGCCAGGTTATTGAGGGCCAGTCTCATGTAAAGGCCAGTACTTGGATACAGGAGGGTACAGACCCAGGAAGAATTCTCCCATCTATATGTTAATATGCACAGTGTTAATATGCACAGGTACATGGTCCTCACAACTTGACATGATCAGCACTAAACACAGAGCCCTGAGCATGAGAAATCTGCAGAGCACACACACACACCTCCTTCAAAGAGCTACACACTTGATCTGAAGCCAAAGTTTTGCATTATACTACTGTGAAGCCACGCTTAAGGTAACAGAGATGGCTCAGTGGCTAAGAGCCCTGGCTCTTCTTCCAGAGGACCTGTGCCCACATGGCAACTCACAATTGCCTGTAGCTCCAGTTCCAGGGTTTCTGACATCCTCACACAGACATGCATGTAGGCAACACCAATGCACATAATGAAATAAATAATTTTTACAAAAAATCAAGTAAATTCAAATATTCCAACAATAATGCGAACTAAATTCACCTCCTTAAAATGGACTCACGGATTAGATGCAAAAATAAAAGCTATATGTTACTGAAAGAAAACAAACTAAACACAGATAACTACAGATGAATAAGCAGATCTGAAGTGAAATAACCATATAAGCAAGTTGTTTTTCTACTAGCAAAAGTATACTCACCACAGGAACTAAACTTGTAACTCATACTTTACACAGCTTAAAAACAGCATATGCAAAGCATAAGCTGATCATAACAGAATCACAGATGAGGGTGGGAGGCTGCTATCGTTCTTCTGGGAAGAGACAGGCTACAAAGGAACACATCACACAATGACCAACCTCATAAAACTCTTCATGGACTCAAAACACACTTTAATCATATAGGGAGCATGCAAGCCACCACTGTAAATATTACTATGATCAAGCCACTGAGAAAAAAAGTACAAAATTATTTCACAAAGCAAAACCCAATTGGGTATATTCCTTAGCTTCAATGAACTAAAAACAGATATTAAAAACCAACATGCTAAAAGGCAACATTTACGCCCCTTTAATTAAAAACAAAACAAAACAAATCCCCTCATTGTAAATAGCTTTAAAATGCAACAGGAAACTAAACTGAAGACTAACACAGCCAAGAACAGTAACTACACTTATGGGCAGAGCCTGGGCAGGGGGCGACACAGAAGTAGGCAGAGCCTGGACTGCGGGCGGCACAGGGTCAGCGCGTGTTAAAAGTGAAGACACTAAAGGAATTTCCACAACACCATAAAAGAAGAGGGGAAACTCAGAAAGCATCAGGAAAAGAAAAACTTGCATAGAAAATAAAGGTGATGAGTGAAACTGAAATCTGGTTCCCTGAAGAACAAAACGACAACAGAGCTTAGGCCAAAGGAGCCGTGTACCACAATGAATGACAGAGTCAGCCTACATTCATTTCGCCAAAACGCCACTAATTTTGGCATAACAGCAGATTAACAGGGAGAGAGACCAATTGGTTCCTTTGTGGGAGCAATTCTGTATTTATTCCCATTACAAAGGGTCAGGCAAGGTCGAATAACAAAGATAAGGAAGTAACACATGAGCCCAAAACCCTGCGTGCTTCTCCAACACAGTGGCCACCTGCGGTCGTAAGGCTCTCCGAACACCTCTGTCGTTTGTCTAACTCTCAGAGACTTCAGCACGCAGTATGCAGGGCAGAGGGGGGCACAATGAATACCTGGGCAGCAGCGTAGAAGTGCCGACAGAGCAGAGACATGCCACTTCTGGGAAGAGTCTCCACTGTCCCTTTCGTGGCATCGCCCCTCAGCACACGCCACCACACCGTGCTTCAGACATACATAAAATCTGCACTGTATGTGCTCTTTGCCAACTTGCTTTCTACCCTTACCCACACTTGAGGAAATCCATCACAATGACGTACATGCTCCATTTTCAACAAGCTACAAAATTCAGTACAGAATACTGAACAATTTATTCAACAGTGATGTAATCATACTCCTTGAAAGGGTTGAGGAGGTGTGACTTGGGCTGGGCAAAGGCTCTGGGTTACACACATACACGAGAACTACTTGGTCACATGTATGTTCTTCTTTCTTTACCAGGGTATTGCCAAACTGTCTTCTAAATTATGTAACAGGCCCTGCTTTTCACAACACTTGGCTTCAGGTGTGGAGGCAGGGAGGTGTCTCACTCAGCTCCAATCCAGCTCACCCTGTCGTATATATTTAGAGCCACGCCTATCCGTCAGCATGGCTGCATTTTCTGATGAGTAACAAAGTCTACCTCCCCACAGTTTTTACTGTGACGTCACCAATCCATCATGTCAGCATGCTGTTGTCACCACTCATCTCCCGCACTTCACACAGCAACACTCTTGTCCACGGAGTCTGAGGTCCTGTGCATATAGCATCAGAGTACATTTCTCTAAGGTGAAATAAAACTTAAAGTTGACAGCACCTTCTGTTCAACAAATCCTTTTAAGTGAAAACAACTTCTTATAAGAACTTCACAAATGACACCATCCCAATGGGACAAAGCTGATCTATCCTGAAAGGCAGCAAGCCCTTTACCACAGACAGGCAATTCTGGACAAGAGTACGAACCATGCTGGGGAGAAAGCAAGGACAGCCGGAATGCCAGCTGCCCCCCCCCCCCCCACAGGCCTGCGGCACAGTAGTTTCCCATTCTGTCCTTTGTTTCTTTGGAGCTGGGGCAAAGTTCCCTCTGCACACTGAAAATGCAGACGAAACACCACAGGAAAGCTATCCGTTTTACAGATGAAGAAATAAACAGAGCCGTCAACTCTTCAAGGTCACAGCTAGCATGAGTCCAATTTCTAATTCTTAACACTGTGGGTAATGTTCATGTTATCACTCCAATGTGGTGTGACAAGATTGGTAAAGGTCATTTGCAGGAAGGGACAGCCAAGGCCACTGCCAGAAAACAATCTAAGAAGACAGGAAGGAAATGAACTCAGACTTTAAGAAAAAAAGATGCAATGAGTGCCCTGAGAGGGCCCCTCAACAACACTCTAACTACCTCTGTCTTAAAGATGCTCTCAGACGCTCTCCCTTACCGATGTGAAACAGCCTGCCTGCCAGCCAAGGGACACAGTACTCCCGAAATGGAACGTCCTAAGAAAGATATGTATAACAAAATCCTCTTTGAAATTATTTTGTTATAAGCAATGAACGACCAGCAGAGAGCCTGGGCAGGGCACCTACCTACTGCAGGGGCATCGTATTCATCGCCAAGCAGGATTTCCGGCGCAGAGTACGCAAGAGACCCACAGCTGGTAGTGAGCTTCTTTCCAGGCTGAAATTTGTTGCTGAAGCCAAAGTCTGTCAACTTCACAAGACCTTGTTTTTCAAAAAAGACCACATTCTCTGGTTTCAGGTCTCTGTGAACCACATGGAGTTTATGGCAGTAAGATATCGCATGAACTATCTGAGCAAAGTACTTCTTGGCCAAGTCTTCATTAAGACCCTCCTCATGTTTCATTATGTAATCAAACATATCTCCTCCATCTCCAAGCTCTAGAATGAGGTACAGTTTGGTCTGGGTATCTATGACTTCATAGAGACGCACGATGTTGGGGTGCTGCACTAGCTTCATGCACCGTACTTCCTGGAAAAGATGGCCAGTGGCTAGAGTGTCGAGCTTCGTCTTGTCGATAACTTTGACTGCCACCTTTTCACCTGTAAAGACATGCCTAGCAAGTTTAACCACTGCAAAATGGCCTCGACCCAAGGTTTTATCCAGATCATATAATCCAGCGATTTTCCCATCATATCCTCGCTTGAACCCCGCCATGCTGGTGTGACGAAGGGAAAGATACTTAAAGTGCTTGAGAGGGTCTTCTCATATGAGCAGCTCTGCTGGAAATAAGGCCTTCATTGTCAGCACTGCAATGGACACCTGTAAGACAAGAGACACAGTCACCTGTGGATTTGCTTTCCATCTAGTTCATTTTGAGAGCCTTAGGTCAAAGGAGACACAAAGTAAGTCAGGGTCATTATTAAAAGGCTATTTATACTCAAGAGTTTACAAAAACACACGTTGGGAAGTTAAGTAAGTAGCAGCTCATTGGAAGCAATTTTTGGGTAAAGAGGGACATCAAAAATAAGAAACTGACAAGTTTGATAAGGTACGTTTAAATGACAACTATCTTACAAAAGTAAAACTTCATCAGTCTTTAAAAACATGGTGAGAGTTCACAAGAAAGGGAAAATGAAGAACACGCAGGCAGAAACCCAGCACCGTTTCCTGCAGAGACTACCCATATCTAGAGGGATATGTCCAAAGGCCCCTCAGACACAGACTTCCCTGACCTTACATTTGTGCATCTTCAAGTGATACCATGTAATCTGTGAGTATCTAAAGGTTCCTGAAGACCATCTTTGTCATCACCCCAAATCTTCATCAACACCAACACAAAAGGGTAATTGAAGCTGTCCTATTACATTTGCAAAGGAACTTATTTCCCAAAATGTTTACCCAGCGACTCTCCGCTTCACGACAGCAGGGATTAGGCTGTTGGTCACAGCAGGTACTTAATCCAGGTGGACATAGCCCACTCTTTGTGTCCACTCGATGCAAGTTCACTAACTCACACATAAACTGCGTGGCTGCTCACTTTCCCAGAGCACATAAACATGCACGCTGACAGACCATTTAAGTCTCAAAGAGTGTTTTGTTTTAGAGGCCAAATTTCTTATCATACTTAAATTTTTCAATCTTTATAATATATTCTAATATAGAAATGTTTTTATAAATGACCTTGACTCAGAAAAAAACAAATATATAAATTTATATAAATTAAAATATCACTTTAAATCCACAAACTGAACAAATGCTTTAGAAATGAGTACCAGGATCCACTGAGGAACTGAAGAGCATGCTACCCTCCCAGACAAGTCATAGACACACTTATGTGCACACCAATATGCACTCTCACACCCCCACTACTTTGGCGAAGCCTTCTTTCATGTCTGCAGCTTCGTCCTATAAAAGCAGGCGCACTACTTGTGCTGTCTAATGATGGAGGTGCGCACAACCTTGAACTGAAACTTAGGCTCACTAGGGCTGTGCCACATCAGAGCAATAGCACGCCATTTTAAAGATCAGAAGACGAGCCCGCACTATCTGAAACCCTGCCACAGAAGCAAGGCTGTGTCCTAGGCTCCTGAGCTCAGACCAGTTCATTTTAAAGCCACGGGGACTGTGCATTCAATGACAGGCGGAAATGACCCTGGAATTCAGTGCACGGCAGACCTCACAGCCCACACTGGAGACCAAGCGCTGGTCCAGCGTTAGGCAAGCTCCTCACTGAGCCACTCTTGGCAGGTCTGACCACTGCACAAACGTCACACCTGGGACAGAATACAGAGGCAATGCAATTCTGGAAGAGATGCCTTCTCACTATGCTATTACCGTCACTGAAAACTACATCACTGAGGCCACCTCAAAGCCACACACGACAAACTCAGACAGGCCAACGATAGCATGCTCACTAACGTGCTCTGTGTTTTAGAAGCCACGGTGTGTCATGTGGGAACTGCTATTCTCAATGAGCACTGCACACCAGCCACATATCAAACTTTACACTTTCCAATTTTACAACTACCTTGAGTCAGGGGCTCCTCACCCCATCTGAGGCACAGAAATGTGAAGTAGGCTGGCCTAGACTGCAGGGCTAGGGCGAGGAGGAGCTGACTCTCCTGCAGGGCAGCCAACACCTGCCCGAGCATTCAAGACAGCCAGTTCAGCTGTTCAGCTGGTTCTCTATAAGCCCACTTCAGAGCCGAAACAGAATCAGTCCATTTCTAACGACTGTTAGTGAGTAAACCAGGACAGAAGCTTGAGAAACGGCTCAGCAAAGCGCTTCCTGCTCTCACACAGCTCCAGGGTTCCAATCCCCAAACCAACGTTAATTCCAGTTCCAAGGTATCTGACACCCTCCTCTGGACTTCATGGGGTCCTGTACCCAGGAGCACAGACACAGACAAACACACACACACACACACATACACACACACTCACAAAATAAAATCTTTTTATTTATATAGACTATGTGTAAGAGTGCTCTGTCTGTATGTACACCTGCATGCCAGAAGAGGGCATCGGATCTCAGCCTTTTTTTTTTTTTTTAAAGAAACTAATATGTAATAAAAGTGTTAGAAAAAAGAGCCAGCCTCTTCTGTATTCTGTATTCTCCTAGTTCACCTGAGCTAATAATTTCAACAACCAGCATAAACAGAGAAGTCTAAATTGAAATGTGCTTCTGTATCTGGACAGCGGGCCTCCCAAAGAAACTTTCCCGCATGTAGATCAGGCCAGGGACTGTCTGCGTCAATTAACTCTGTACAGTCAGCTGTCCCGGCCTGTCTAGTGTCTGCTGCGTTTTCTTTTTTCAAATTCAGCTTTCATGTTCAAAACTGACTTCCTGGGACTGCCTACACATTTTTTCATCTTTATTCTTTTTCTTTATATTTTTGTTTAGATGCACTGCTGGAAAGTAACAAATAGATCAGATTAGATAAAAGAATCTGAGGATTTTAAAAGTTAAACTTGCGGACCGAGAAAATGCTCAGGGGGTAAAACACTTGCCACACGAGCAGAATGACATGAGTACGATCCCCAGTCCCATACTTTTAACCTCAGCATGCAAAAGCTGGGGAGCCTGAGGTGTGACACGACACACTGGACAGGCCACAACGACAGATGGCCTGATCTCACGCTCACTGGCTAACCAGCCATCCTAGCCAAATCACTGAGCTTCAGGTTCCGTTAGAGACTTCTCAAAAAAATAAGGTGGAGAGGGCCAGTGAGATGGCTTAGGGGGGTAAAGGTCCTTGCTTGACAACCTGAGCACTATCTTTAGAGCCCACGTGATAAACATAGAAAACAGACTCCCAGAAATTGCCCTCTGACCTTCAAAGAGACAGGAATGTATGTATGTGTACACATACAGAGAGAGAAGGGAGGGAGGAGAGAGAGAGAGAGAGTAAATAAATAAATGTTTAAATCTGGGAGGATCAGCTGGAGCATGATCAAGGAAGACACTAATGATAACCTTTGGCCTCCGCACACCCATACAGTGAGCATATACAGAGACACACAATATATACATTGTTATTTGACCTCAGGGAGCTCAGTGCCTCTGGCCCACCAGGCCTCATGCTAATATTGAGTGGTGGCTGTGAGAGAGAGCTGCAGGGGGCTCTGTGCAGACTCCACATACCTTACAAATACACACCAAATCACTCTTACCACTATGTTAGCTGCTTCTTTCTCCTAAAGGGAAATGCACAAAATGATTTCAGTGTATTCTACTTGTTTCAATTCTGCTTAAAGTAAAACTGTATATTCTAGGAAGGACAAACCTGAAAACGGCAGCTCTGTCCTTGCTGACCCTGTCTCCTCCAATTCTGTTTCTTCCTCTAGTAATTACTATTCCTCTTTCCCTTTGCTCACGCTAAGCAAGTTCTCCGCCACTAAGCCCAGCCTCAGCCTGAATCACAGCTTTGAAGAAATCATGGCAATGGACAGCAAGAACACCTCCACTGTCTAACGAGCTCCTGGAAACAGCCCTGCCCTGCATCGCTGAATCCTGACTGTGCACTGCACGGTAGGCAAAATGAAGCTCGACTTGTCTGATGCACCTCTGGCCAGGATCCTGCTCTGCCTGTAAGTCCATCCCACCCAGGAGCGCCTGGACAAACTCAGCGAGCTCCCGTGACAGCAGCTGAGGAGAGGAATCAGCAGAGACACTCCTCTCCTAAGCAAGGCAGAAATGCACTGTGGTGCCAGAGACAGGCAGCACACAAAACACCTTCATGTCTGCCACCAGACAGTAAACAAAACTGTCACTGTGAGCAAAGCAGCTGCATTGCTGCCAGTTCTTGCGTAGTGACGGTCCTTTCCAAAGGGGGTGGATGGGCTCTTCACAAACCTGAAACACGACACAGAGACCTGAAAGGCCTGGATAATCCTGGTAGGTCAAAGCTACTCACACCCCATGCTAAAGATCCAGTGTCTGAGCAATCAGTGAGCCCAGGTTCAGGAACACGTGAGAGAAAGCAGACAGGAAGGACAACATCTGGATGTAAAAGGAAGCCAGCTCTGCAGTGGGAGCAAAGAGCACTTCACGGTGGCTGGTTCCCGGCTCACTGACGGGCAGACCTCAGCCTGACTGCCCCTTCAGCCCCCAGTGGGACACAGCAGCTCCTTCCACTGGCCTGGCCTGCTTCTCCCCCCAGCAGCCATTCATAGTCTCTGCAGCAAGGCAGCATGGTGGTCAGGGCTAGTCGCAAGTCACAGGCCTCACCAACTTACCTGACCTTCCCATACAGTTAGTTCCCTCAGGAGACAATGTCGGCACAGAACACAGCCCTGCCGGTGAGCCCACCCTCAGAAGGCAGAGGAGGGCAGAGCAAGACAGTGTGAGGCCACCCTGCCTTTTCTAAAACACAACCATATTTCATCCCTAAGCCAAACTCATTCAAACACACAAACTGTAAAGGCCGTGAAGGGAGCCGGAGAGGTGGCTCGGCAGTAAAGAGCTCTTACTGCTCTTTCAGAGGACCGAAGCTCAGTCCCCAACAGCTCACGAACACCTGCAACTCTGAAACCATTGAAGCTCTGTGGCACCTACATTCACACATGTGCGTCCACACACACTTAAAGACAAAAAAGTAAATCTTTAAGGACTGTGAAGACCAAAGAAGCTGTACAACTACAACAGTTAGCATGCTGACCACCCCGTCTGCGCCGCAGCAGCCCTGCTGCTCCCATCAGGCTGCTCGCCTGCTGCACGGCAGCTCACTGAACCAGTGCCTTCTCTTGTTTCCTAATACACCAAACTGAAACCAGCTGTCAGATCTGGAGATCCAAAAAAATGACATCTCTAACCCAAC